CCAATAGTCTGTGACTGATTTTCACCAAACACAGCATTATTCAAAAGAACACACTAGCGTCCAGAAGTCTTGTTGTATCTTTAGTTACAACTTCGTAAACATAAGCTGTGCTGCCATGTTCTTTTTAGAGAGAAGATGCTTTCTCCTGGCAACCATTCCGAATTCTTCTTCCTAATGTCTAATTCTACTGCCATGAATTTTAACATTTAACATCCTAACTGAGGCCTGTAGAGTCTGAGATGTAGCTCTTTGGTTTTTTCCAGTTTCTCAGAGTGTTGCATGGTCTGACCTTGGGATGAATTTGCTGGGGCGTTCAGTCTCTGGTTAAGTCCGTGGCGTTGTGTCAACACACATCTGATTGCTCACACACACCTGTGAATGATCTGTTAATCAGGTTAATCAATTACCATCTTAATTACTATGGAAGCAGTGAGGGTGTACTTTGTTTGAAAAATTTATTTTTCATATAACTGCACTGTTTTGAGATCTAAATAAGAATCCTATGTCTAAGGTGTACAGGAGAAGATAGCATATGGGTAATGAATTTACAATAATCTCATGTTTTTAAAAAAAATTTCAAATGATGTTATAATAGAACACATTTTACTTTAAGATGTGCAGCATGTGTGAAATATCGCCAGGCACAATATAAACATCCCAATAGAGTAGAATTCTTGTAAACAGGAATAATAAGTACGTTGCCCCCTTAAAACGATGAAGCGCTTTAATAGTTTTAAATCTTTCCAGCCAATTCATTGCTTCAAACAGTCTGAAATGTAAGCTGCCTGTAGCCAGTGGTGTCATGTTTGAGGTGCTTTTAACCTACAGTTATGGTAGTCTGTTTACATACACTCATCACAGGCATGGTAATTTGGGGCTTTTGTTCTTTGTCTTTGTTGCACTGTTCTTTTTCCAGGGTGGAATGATTTTTACGGCATACATATTTAACTATTTTAAACTGGACGCACAAGTTTGAATTTATTTTTGATTCTCTCAAATCTGAAACTTCATGGGCCTTGGCAAAGTTAAAAGACAAAAGTTATTAAAAGATTCAAGTGAGCATATGTAATTATTTGAGTATACTTTTTTTTTTTTTTACCCTGTGTGGATTAGAGAAAATCCAAAAGAAGTTCAAACGTGTGCACCCAATTCTTGTTTTCTTAAAGTCATTAAAGATGTATGCTGTGCAATAACTCCACCCTGGAAAAAACAAAAGTTCATGGAAGTCATTAAAAGCCCCAAATTACAACGACAGGTCATGCTCATGGTAATGTAAACTTCTAACCACAACTGTAAAGCAAGTTAAATTGTTCCCCAAACAAACAAAAAACAAACTATTTTTAAAAATGTCTATTATAACCGGATATTGATGATTGATTCTGTTTATTTCCAATAGGAGGAAATGCTATAGGAAGAAAAAAAACAAAACAAAAAAACCAGCTTATACTACAGTAAACTGTAGTATAAGCTGGTAAAGACGATAGTAAAGAATACATTATTTGAGCAAGATTTTCAGCTTGTTTTTTGCACTTTCATTATGAACTTATTAAATTACACCCCAGCAAGTCCTGTGCACCCACGGACTGCACGAGTTTCCGGGGAGAACTGACATTCCCAACATGCTATTATTTCCCAGTTAACCCTAACTTATATATGAACATACATGGTCGAAGTAACTGAGTAACTTTATTCAGCTCTACGCTGCGTGCCCTTGTGACAGTTTCAGCAGTTGTGCGACAGTAGGGAGCCTGAACACGGTGTGGTGGTCTGGATCTGGGTGGAGTTAAGGATCCGTGTGACACACACTGACAACTGGGAAGCACACACACACAACAAACAGGTGTCTTCCTCCTCTTTCAGACGCACAGTCACACTTTCGGGGGGCCTCCTGTCCGCACACTGAACGCTCCTCTTTCCTTTATCTAACTTTTAAAACTCCCCGGAAATCATTTTGAAGCACAGCTTTCACACAATGCACGCGGCACAGAAAGACACCACCTTCACCAAGATCTTTGTGGGAGGTCTTCCTTATCACACAACCGACTCAAGTCTGAGAAAATACTTCGAGGTGTTTGGAGAAATCGAAGAGGCCGTCGTTATCACTGACCGGCAGACGGGCAAATCCAGAGGTTATGGATTCGTAAGTAAATCCTGTAATTATATAACGATCCGGTCAGCTGAACAAGTCAAGTAGAATGCGTTGTTTCGTGTGCAGGAGTATCATCTCATGGAAAACGCGTTGTCCTAATTTAGGTGACCATGGCAGACCGGGCCTCTGCCGACCGAGCCTGCAAGGACCCCAACCCCATAATAGATGGAAGGAAAGCCAATGTGAACCTGGCGTATCTTGGGGCCAAACCCAGGGTCATTCAGCCAGGTGAGGGACTGGACCTCAGTTTTGTTTTTATTTTCTTTTACAATCGAATATAAAAAGAACTAAACTAAATGAAGCTAATTAACGTTTATGGAAACAAATCTGAAAAAACTTGTAGGTATTTTTCTTCCTGGGTTTGTTTTTTTTTAAAGATTTTAAACAAATGTTTCACAATGGTCTGTATCAACTCCAGGCTTTGCATTTGGTGTGCCTCAGATCCATCCAGCATTCATCCAGAGACCTTACGGGTATGTGAAGCTACATTTTGTTTCTGTCACAAAAATCTGTCTCTATTAGAAATGCCCTTGACTATATATATATTTTTTTCATTATTATTGTTTTAAATGTGTATTTATTATTGCCTCCACCTGTTTCACCCTGACTGATGACATGTGAGTGTACATGTGTGCCCCTCTGCTTGAGGTTGATTGTGAAGGAAGTGAGCGTTTGTCCCCAGCCACTGCAGGAATTGTCTTCATGTTGTCTATTTCTCTCTGATCTGACAGGGTCGGTAACGGTTAAAATAGCTGATGAAGTGACATGATGATTTGAGGAATAGCTGAGTCTGCATTGGGCAGAGCGCTAAAGTGTTACCTGTATACTCTGACATACACAAACGAACAGAAATGGTGACTAGATGCATGGAAATCTTCTGCTGTTGTTGTTTTCTTTGATGATTTTTTTTTTTCAGTTTTCCATAGTACATAGATTGGTGTGTGCCTTGTTTTCAGTATGATGTGGCGTTCAGCTTAACTGTGTGCTTACTTCTACTTGCAGTGGGGGATGTGGGGCGTTCAGAAGGGGATTTTTTCATACAGACTTTTCCAGTCATCATAGGGAGTTATAACTCTGCGATGGGGTGTTGATTCTTTTTCCCGTTTTAATGATTGTGCTTTAGCCTGTGTTTTTATTTATTTATTCCTGGTTTCTGGTTAACATGAAGTTCACTGTGTTTTGTTGTCAAAAGGGGTTGGGGTTGACGATCACTCAGTGTGTTAATTTCAAATTCAATCCCCGGCAACAAAACAAACACTGGCTTGCATGTGGGAGTTCATTTTCTGTTTCCTTACCCATGATGCTGTGTTTTGTTTTGTTTATTGATTGTTTTTTTCAATTAACCTACTGCTTTCATTTGTAGCTTACATCTACAGGTACATATACTGAGCATTTTCTTTCTGATCAGTCACAAATATTCAGTGTTTTGTTTTTTGTTTTTTTTGCCATCACTCAAGAAGTGTGTATGAGTGTGTTCGATTGCCTCCCTCTTTGCAGAAAGGCTGTGCTTTGGTGAAGTATTTAGTTATTTTTTTTAACAAAAAGCTGGATCACTCTGTTGAAATTTTATCGTTATGAAGTCCTTATTTTAGCTATGACACATGAGTTTAGGTGTGCTCATATAGTCCCTGCAGTATAGGGTGAAGACAAGAGCTCTTAGCTCGTCTCTTAGGCAGCAGCTGTTGGCTACAGTGATCCACATGGCATCTCAAATTCAGATGGAAAAAAGGGAGTCACTCAGCAGCGCTGTTAATAATGTATGGCAGAGACGGAGCTGCTCGGCTGCGGACGACAGGTGGGACGAGCCATGCGCCCATGAGGCGTTTTGGTTATGTGCTGGGGATTACCCATGTGCCCTGGTGATTTACAATGCACCTTTATTTAGCTCTCCACTTGCAGGACGACAAAACCTCCATGCCCTCCTTTCAGTAGTCACACTTAAAGTCAGCTGTGACCTTTACAGCATTTAAACACTTTGTAGTAAAACCAAGTTGCGTCACAAAGCGAGGATACCAGCGTGATGGCTTCTGTCTTGTCAAGTTGAAAGCTGTTAAAGTAATTAGACGGGTCACGCTCAAAAACAAGCATTGGGAGTTTTCTGGAATCGATGTGCCTCTATAAGACAAAAGAGTTAGCCTTTGTTTCGCCTCCCATTTTCACTTATCAGTGGGGACACCTTCAATCTGATCGTAGTGAGGTGTAGGCAGTTGTTGAGGAGAGCTCTGCCATGTGTCACTGAAGGAGAAGATCAGCTTGTCCTTTTGCGATGACAAGAGGAGCAAAAATAGCATGCAGCCAGCCTCCCTTGTCACTCAAGTTGACCGTGCGTGTGTATTTGCGCGGGGTGGTGGTATGTCTGGAAGGGTAGAAGAGGTGCACGTGTCAGTGGATAAATATACTTTACACCTGCTCCTCGGTGTATTTACTTAGCGTGACTCTGACAGAAGTTTAAAGTGGAGGCAAGTTTACCCAGATACAAAGGTCGTATGTTTCCATCATCATCAAATGGAGATGTCCCTTTATTACACAGTCTTGTTTATTTCTTTTTCAAACAGCCATCTGCACAACATAATACAGCTAAGCACCTACTTTTGATAAGATGCTGTATGGTTACTTTAACAGCTACGTGCAAAACAGTCATTTTTCTCTTCTTTTTTTTTTTGCGTTTAAGGACCTATTAACATGTGTGGGCATGCTTGTATGTGTGGTGTTGGTGTTGCAGTATGTGGACAGAACCATGTCCATTTCTCGAACTGATATGTTGTGTTTTTGCGATAAGCTCGCATTTTGTCAAATATGGTTTTCAGTGAAGCGTTGGGGTGCAGAGCTTGGCTATGTCTTCTTTTAATGCCTCACTGTGTTTCAGATTCGGGTGCTTTTTGAAATTTAAAGCTACGCTTGTGTTTCTTTGTGGTTTTTGCTGCTTTTTAACGTTTCATTTCTAGGTAGGGTTTTTATTTTTTCCGTTAATGAATGGATTTGCTGTGTTCTGAGGACTGGACTGACATATTTGGCACCTGCTTTTCAGTTTTCCAGCGTTGGAAAGATGACTGACTGTGGCTCTGTTCTGACCCTGTGCATCTTTGTGTCCTACAGGATCCCAGCTCATTATGTCTTCCCTCAAGCCTTTGTCCAACCCAGCGTGGTGATCCCTCATGTACAACCGTCTTCGGCTACAGCAACAGCTGCTGCTGCCACTTCCCCATACCTTGACTATACCGGAGCAGCTTATGCCCAGTACTCTGCAGCTGCTGCGACTGCTGCTGCTGCAGCTGCTGCCTATGAGCAGTATCCGTACGCAGCTTCACCAGCACCGACGAGCTACATGACTACAGCGGGGTATGGGTACGCTGTCCAGCAGCCGCTTGCCACCGCTGCCACCCCAGGAGCAGCAGCAGCTGCTGCGGCCTTCAGTCAGTACCAGCCTCAGCAGCTCCAGACAGATCGCATGCAGTAAAACCTTTAAGACTACCTTACAGAAAGAAAAGAAGGGGAGGTGAGCTCTTTCCATGAAGAAGGTGAAGGGAGGAGATGCAGACAGATTGAGGCTGATTTAAAAAGAAAAGAAAAAAAAGGTTGTCACTTCCAGGTTTTAACTAAGCAGAACCTCTACCAAAGAGCGAGAAGACAATGTTGAGACAAGTGAGGAATGTATATTTTATTCAAGTGAGATCAGTATTGGATATAAATGAATATTTAATATTTATTCAGCAGTAAAAAAAATTGTCAGGTTAACTGGAGTTGACTCACTGGACATCAAGACAGCTGTCAGCTGAGTTTTGTATATATGTTGCAGGGGTAAGTCCAAAGTGCATTCATGTCTTATGATCAGATTTCTTCCACGCTAATTTAAAAATCAGCGATAACACCTGGCGACAGTATGTTACACCATCATGCAGTTCTCAGTATTGAAATAGTTTCGGACCATTTTTTTTCTTTTTGTTTCACAAAGCTATCCAGGCACTGATGGAAACGTCAGTGTTTATTAAGACTTTTTATATATATATATATATATACACATATATATTGTTTGGAGTGAAGTAGATTAGAGACCCTTGGGAAAAGAAATCCCTTTTAAAAAGTATTTTTTCTGCGGTACATAAGACAAAATGCTCTGGTGACAGCTGAAGCTGGTAAAAGCACTCGCGCTTCTTCCCTTTTAATCACTCAAGCATGTTCAGCTAAAGGGAAGAGACGCTGTTGAATGTGAATCTTTCATTTTCATAAAATGTTTCATCGTGTGTTTAAATTATGCTATTTATGTATTTATTATGGAGCCTTACAGCAATAAACCCTTGGTTTTCATATGTTAGTATAAAAGTCTACTGTGGAACATGTCCATGTGTGCTGCTGCATTTCTCATGATCAAGAGCATATGATGGATGTGAACGCTCGGCTTTGCAAAGCTGTCGTCTGTATAAAGAACAAATGATGAGTGGAAAGGTAGCAGTAACTTTAAAGTGTTTCTTTTTTTCTATACTGTTCTGATGTTTTTATGTTGTCTAATAGATTAATAGCTCTTTAATGTCACTTTTGATACTTGACTAATTTGATAACTGACAGGCTGTTTTTAAAATTGATCACATTTTATGTCTTTTGACAGTAAAGGTTTTCTGATGCAAGAGCAACAGCTATTGACCTTGTAATGCATGACTCAACTATACAGATATTTTATTTGGGAAATAAATCAAAATTTACCTTCAACTGTTTCTGTGTTCTTGTTTAATTGTTTGGCAGTATGAAAGAAGATTCTCCAGGTTTCTAAAAGGACGTTTAAAGCTGTTCTTTGGATGTTGGCTGCCTTTTGTTCTGTTCTCCATCAAGATGACTGTATTTTAGGGATAGCTGTAAACACTCACTGTTATATTTCTCTCCTGACCTCTTCCATTCATACCGATGATGATTTGAACCCAAAAACTTCACCTTTGGATTCATCACTCCATAAAATGTGTCCTCACTCATGTTCAGGGCTGACAATCCGTAAGAATGGCGTCTTGACAGCCACCTTCCTCTGAGACCATTTTTGATGAGGCTTCAGTGAACAGCAGATGGAACCGCTTATAGGTCAGGTTCTGTGTCAGGTCTTTTCAAAGGAAAACGTCGAAAGAAGTCTATAAATCGCTGGGAGTTGCTGCTCAAGACCACTTTTTTAAAATGACAAGAATACCTGATTGTTTAGAACAAAATATAAAGAAATGAGGGATGGCTCAAGACTTTTGCCCAGCCTCATGTTTATGATGCTTTACAACAATGTAAAACATACTCATATAACCTGTTTGACTTTACTAAACTGTCTTAGAGTGTTCCTGTACAGTTGTTCAGAAACACGTTCTTGTTAGGAAATAAACGATTTTTCTCTAATACCTCTCGGTTTTTCTTACCAAAGCTGCTGCCTCCTGACACCTGCTGGTTAATGTGAGTATTGCACACTATTGAGTCGTGACACCTTGAGCTCTGTGGTTATGTTTTCCCACGAACGCCTGTCTCACATCGAGCTTTGGGCACATTACTTTCAATTTTACTCACACGTTGGGCGGAGCTGAAGGCCAGCGGCACTGCCAGGCCTGACGCATTCAAGCCATATCAAAGTTACTTAAGGAGGTTCTTTAATTTGTTGTTAATTGTAAGATTTGCTAAAGCATTTATGCACACACTACACTTTGAATACCAATGACATAGGAGGCGAAATCTTCTCTCACAAAAATGCTGGTTAATCACGTGAAAGTAAGCGAACATGACCTGACGTCGGTCAAAGTAACTCATTTAAAATAAATGTAAACATGGCTTAGTTGATATCGAGTTTTGGTGTTTATGTGACGTATTTAAAAATATATATATAGCCAGTGTCCTATCAGAAAACTTTACTCTTTACGGAAAGAAAAAGCTCGCAAATCATTGCGGTAAGAACATCGGTATCACCTGTCCCATTTCTCCCATGTTTCGTGAACGCGGCGCACGCATTCTGTCTGTCGAGCGCGTTAAGAGGAAGTCGTTCTTTAGCAATCACAGTGCCTTAAAATTCAAAAAACCTGCAAAACGACACCCACAAATGATTCAAAGGGAAGCCATTTGGAACTGAAATATTTCTTCCCAGCACTGTGAGTAGCATTTAGAGACTTCAGCTATCATAACTGTTGATCTCTGCTTCCTTTCGCTTGCCTTTTTTTTTTTTTTTTTTAGAAAAACATGTCTATACTATGTTAATCAGTTTAACAGAAAAAAAAACCCTCACATGCTAATTCGTTCTTTGTCAGAAATATGACATGTATTCCCATGTCTTATTTTAATTCAGAGGGCCTGCGGTGTGCAGAATACGTGAGCTAAAGGGTCGTTTCGTGGATGAAAGTCAGATTTGTGGCCTATTTCTTTTTTCCCGTAAACCTCGCGATTCTCGGGGTGTTTCAAACGGTGCCGATTCTTTTTTTTCGACCCTGGTGTCAAGTGAGCTCCACATGTGGACTCGTGCTAGCGCCAGAAGCACTGACAATATATACAGTGGTTACAAAACGCTTGTTTTAATTGAGATATCGGTGTTTGTGGGAAAACAATAGGTACCGGAAGTAACCGCTTCCACGTGACTTCTGTATCGCTGCGTGTGTATGTGTATACTTCGCTGCCAACATTATCTGTCAAGTAGCATATTTGTTGTTCTTATTTGTATTTTATCCTTTTCAGAGGTTATCTCGTATCCCTGCGCACCGGACGGTATCTGCTCCTGATCTAAGGCGGAGATGACTACCGAGAAGACTGAATACACTCCCGTGGTGGTGGGAGCATCTCAGCCACCTCTCCCCGGGCAGCCAGCGTTTCCCGTTGCCTTTGGCACGAACGTGCCGGGTCCAAGTACGCTCGAGGGCCACGTACCTGGTGCTGGTGTCCATCCCTTCCCTCCACCGACTGCGTTTGCACCCGGTGTCCCGGGAGATTTCGGAATGGCCGTGAACCCCAACCAAGGACAGTCGGGATTCGCCAACCCATCATATCCTGCATATCCTCCACCAGCATATGGCTTTAATGAAAATATCGCAGGTGGGTGTTTGAAACACTGCCACTTTTTTTTCCCTTTTAACTTTGTTCTCAGTTTGTCATTGCCATTGCAGGAGAAGTTTTCCATAATGAGGATCCACCAGCTTTTCATGAGAATCAAGAGTTTGATTTTGGATTGGATAACAAGACAATACGACGAGCGTTTATACGAAAGGTAAGAAGATGCTTCGGTTATTTTGAGCCACATATATTTGTAATATTTTCATCAAGTATCTTTGAAATAATCAGCAAGGTTATGTTACTTAAAGCTGAAACAAATGACTAAAACTAATATTTCCTACTTGGTAGCGTCAAACAGATACTTCAGTACAAACAAGATATTCACCCTGTTTATTATTTACAAATGTGTGTTCACTTTTCCCTACAGGTATTCTTGGTGTTAACCGCTCAGCTCATGGTGACATTCGCATTCGTGGCTGTTTTCACCTTTGTGGAACAGGTCAAGGTGTTTGTAGCGGCGAACATGTGGACATATTTGGTGTCCTACATTGTGTTCTTTGTGTCCGTTTGCGTGATCAGCTGCTGTGGAAATGTTCGTCGAAGACACCCTTGGAACCTGGTTGCACTGGTAAGCCAGGGGGTGTTTTCATCACTGTGTAGATTTTGGGGAAGGAAATCCTACTTGCACTTATGCAACTCCTTCTTTCAAAAACTGAGTTGGTTAATTTATAAGAAGTCGAGGGGTCGGGCAGCTTTTGTCCTGAAGTGTTGACATTTTGTATTTGAGGTTTACAGTAAAAAGTTGTGTAACTATAAAATCATCTGTGATTTATCTGCCCGCTGATGTACTGTGCTTGTCTTGTTTACAGTCCATTTTGACTCTAAGTATGTCCTACATGGTGGGAATGATCGCCAGCTTCCATGAAACCGATTCGGTGATCATGGCTGTGGGCATCACAGCAATTGTGTGCTTCACGGTGGTCATCTTCTCTCTGCAGGTTTGTACCTGTAGATCTCTGCCTCTGGTCTACATGTCGAGTGCGTTAATCATTCTTCAATATGTAAATAATCATAGGTTTTTCTTCTTCCAACAGACCAAGTATGACTTTACTTCCTGTTACGGGGTACTTTTCGTCTGTTTAATTGTCTTGATCGTCTTTGGCTTCCTCTGCATCTTCATCCGTGACAAAATCCTGCATATTGTCTATGCTGGACTGGGAGCATTACTCTTCACCTGTGTAAGTCCTTAAACAAACTCGTCACTACTGCTAGGTCAGATTTGTGCGGAATTTTGTCTTGGTGCCGTTATTTTGTGATGCTGTAACCTAATCTAAATTGGTCACACATCAAAACAACAGTAATGCTCAGCTGACATTTGTTTAGGGTCTTTTCTTTAGAGTTCAGGGTTTATTGATGTACCTTGTGGCTGGATTTCATACAGATGCTTTTCACAGAAGTGTGGTCAGTGGTTATAAGAAGGCGCAGACAGCCACAGAAAATAAGGAAGAAAGAAATGAACAAGACAGACTTTACAAAACACCTGTCTTCAATTCAGACTTGCCACAGCACCCCAGGCAGCATTAAAGATGTAAACATTCGGTGTGACTGCAGTGTTTGTTTTCAGAAACATTACCATCACAGAACAGCTTTTTAATAATTAATGGACTACACTCACCAGACACTGTTAGCTGTACCAGGCTAGATCCCGTTTTGCCCTCAGAACTCTAATTCTACATGGCAGGATGGATCTATGCTTTTGTATAATTTACACCAAATTCTGACCTTGCACCCGGTGTAGTCTTCTGCTGCTGTAGCCTATCTGCCAAGGTTCCACCCATTCTGGTGCTCATTTTAGCTGTAGCTATATATTCCTGCCTTGTTATTGGCTAATTAGATATTTGCTTTAACAAGCAGTTAAACCAGTATACCCAGTGAAGTGCCTGGTGAGTGTACATTTAAACGAATGGCATATTGAGTCTGGTCGGAAAGGGAATAAAGTGAAAGTGAATGTAGTGAATAACAGAGTGGTGGTTTTGCAGAGACGCATTATTGAAGCTTTAAAGGTTATTTGAATGTTCATCTGGACAAGCAAAACGAAACCAACCTATCTGTGTAGCTTGATAATGGTGCTAACTGTAATTTGCATAATGGAAACTGGAACTAATGTTGCACCACACATGAACAGAAGTCAGATCTTTATATACAAATGTTACTTTTTTTTTTTTTTTTTTTTTTTAATTTATTGGTGAAAATCTTTGACTGTATTAAATTTGTGTGTTGCAGTTCTTGGCTGTGGACACTCAGATGCTTCTTGGCAACAAGGAACTGGCCCTGAGTCCCGAGGAATACGTCTTTGCTGCTCTAAACCTGTACACAGACATCATCAACATCTTCCTCTACATTCTCGCCATCATTGGCAGAGCCAGAGGAGGCTGAGCAAAGGGAGCGACAATCAAAACTTTTCCGTTCAAACACAAAAGTGAATTCTGATAATGTTGATTTTTGCTTTGCTTTGTAGTGCGTATTCGTTACATAGTTGAAGATTGCTTTTGCTTCACCCAGTAAATGTAGTTTTTGTATGATGCTATGTAGTGTAAGTAGGATCACATAGCCTCCAGCTTAGAGATTGCTACAGTTTTCTGCAGTATATGTACAAAACTTGTATTTTGGTTTAGAAAATTGTATCCTATGCCAAACAAAACCATTAAAAAGGACAA